AGGCAAGAAAGGGAGCACTTGATTTGGGGAGCAGTCCTAGTTCAGCTTAGCTGTCCATCTCCCAACTGACACACCCCCCACCCCACCCCCGCTCCATTGCCCCATCAATCACCAAGGTGTGTTGGTACTCCTGGCTTCCTGCAATTCCTGGGGTCTGAGAGCAGGCTGGTGGGGTTAGCCCGAGAGAGCCATCAGCAGAACAGAAGGCAAGATGGATGGGTGTGTCCTGTGTGAAGGGCTGGTTTCTCAAAGCCATTTGAAAGCAGAGGAAACTGAGGCATGGGAGGAACTTCACGCTAAGCTTCTCTATACCATCCAGCTGCTGGTCCTTCATTCTCGCTGTGTGTGTGCCAGTGAGGAGGTCAGAGGTCAGTGTTGGCCGTCACCCTCAGTGCCCCCCCCCCTTTCTTGAGATGGGTCTCAATGGCCTGGAGTTCACAGTTAGCTAGGCTGGCTGGCTGCCAAGACCCAGGAATCCTGTCTCCACCTCAGGGCTACAGTCTGCATGAGCCATGCCTGGCTCTTTCCTGGGTGGCTGGACTCAGTCTTCACATTCCTGCACCTTACCCACCAAGCATCTCCTCACCCTCCACTCACTGGTGGGCAGTGAACTCCCAATCCTGGCATCCAGGGGACCCTCAGATACTCAGGGAGTCTCTGGGTAATTGGAAGTCAGAACACCTAGGCGTCCTCACAGCGGGCAGGAGGAGGAGGCTCGCGAGGCGGGAGTCATCAGGGCCCTAATGAGTTTACAAAGCCTTTCAGAGCCGGGAACCCCTGATTTTCCTCCCTAACTCTCCAACTCTTGGGCTATAATCACCAGCCTGCTAGTTATCTGTAATTAGCATTCATGCTTAATAATGAGCATGCTAATTGCAGGGGAATGGCCGTGCCAGCCCGTGCCAGAGCCCCAGAACCTACTTGGCTTCCCTTCCATACAGAAATCAAAACAAACCTACCCCCCCTTTTTTTTATAGGACCCCGGAATCCATGCCTCAGGCCCCTCTGCCTCTTACTGGTTTTGTCTGACTTTTATCTGGGGATAATCCCCCACACACAAGCGCAGTGAGGGATCCCGTCTCCCCACGGGTGGAGGCTTGTGGAATTTAGCTCCACACCAAAGAGATGAAGGGAGGCATGACTCAGGTGCCACAGTGCTCACCTAGCAGGGAGAAAGCCATGGGTCCCCCCACCCCCCAGCTTCGTGCACACTCGTCTTCCCAGCACTGGGGAGGTGGAGGCAGGAGAATCAGGAGTTCAAGGCCAACCTCGGCTACATATAGTGTTTGGGGTCAGCGTGGACAACTTGAGACCTGTCATATAAAAAGGAAACAGAAATGGGGGGCGTGGGGGTGGCGCACACCTTCAGTCCCAGCACCAGGGAGGCAGAAGCAGGTGGATCTCTGAGTTCGAGGCCAGCCTGGGCTGCACAGTGAGACCCTTTCTCCAAAACAGACAAAAAAGAGTCAGATGGGGCCTGTGTTCTGGACCCCAGCTCTCTGATGACACAGTGAGCTACGGAAGGTTCTGGTGCACAGGGTGGTAACTGTGGTTTGCCATGGCAGCCAGGGAGCTGGTAGGAGGCTGATGGACACATAAGGCCAGGCTGGACGTGGGCCTTGGTACCCTGAGTGGAAGGGTATGCAGAGCCGGGAGGAAAAGTCAGGAAAAGAGGGTGGAGCAGGCAGGCCAAACATCAGCAGTGATAATTAAGGGGCCTGGGAGGCCGCTCAGTGGTTAGAGCACTGGCTGCTCTTGCAGAGGACCTGGGTTCAGTTCCCAGCACCCACATGGTGGCTCGTGACCACCTGTAACTCCAGCTCCAGGGGACTAGACACCCCCTTCTGGCCTCCACAGGCACTGCACACAAGTAGTGCACAGACACACATGTGGGCAAAACACCCAGATACATAGAAATAAATCTTAAATGAGACACAGACAGACTGACAGACTAGGGTGGGGCCCCTCTGGTACTACGTCCTCTCTTCCCTTCTAGGTCTCAAATTTGACATGAAATACATGAACTTCCGTGTGAAGGCCTGTAACAAGGCGGTGTCTGGGGAATTCTCTGAGCCGGTGACCTTAGAGACGCCAGGTGACTGCCTCCTACCCCTCCCTGACTCAGTATCTCCCACCCATCCTGGTGTCCTGGGAACGCATCCTTCATAAGGGTCTTGGAATGGGGTGATGTGGCCCTTATTGCTCTGGCTGCCAGGGAGCTCACCTTTGGTCTACAGTGGCCATCTCTGTCTTCACTCAGATACCTTGGACTCTTCTGTTTTTTGTTTTCTTTTTTAACTATGAGGGCGACCTGTGGATTTTATTTTACATGTATTTGTATGTGTGTGCACATGTAGGGGGTTTGTGCTTGTGGAATCAACGTCAGGAGTCACTCCTCAGGCGTTGTCCACCTGGCTGGCCTGAGCCCTAAGGCTCCCCCTGTCTCTGCCTGTCCCATGCTGTGGTTACAGATGTCACACCATGTGTGCCTTGTTTTTATTTATTTGTTTATTTTGGTTTTTGGAGACAGGGTTTCTCTGTGTAGTTTTGGTGCCTGGCCTGGAACTCGCTTTGGAGACAGGCTGGCCTCGAACTCACAGAGATCCGCCTGCCTCTGCCTCCCGAGTGCTGGGATTAAAGGCGTGCGCCACCGCCACCTGGCTTCAGTTAAATTTTGTGACTTTTTTTACATGTGTGTCAGTACGGTACGCCTGTGCAGTGCCCGCAGAGGCCAGGTAGAGAGCTGGAGATACAGTTGTGAGGCACCATGTGGGTGCTGAGAATTGAACCCAGGTCCACTGAAAAACGAGCCAGTGCGCTAACTAGTGAGCAACCTCCAGCCCCGTCCCTTTCTTTAAAAATAAATTATTTATTTAGTTCTTGGAGACAGGCTGGAAGTCACAATCCCCCAGCCCTGGCCTCATGAGGGCTAAGATTCCAAGTGTAGATGGAGGGAGTAGTCTTCCTGTCTCCCCCCCCCCCCCCCCCCCGCCCCCGCCTCCTTCTGACCCCTATAGAGTTGGGGACAGAACATGAGTCATAAAAACAGATTCTATCGTTTCCCACAGTGACTCTTTTGTATATCATCTTTGGAAGTCCCTCTGCTGTCTAGCCTAACTCCCTCCTGCTGTAGCCGTGTTCTTTTTTGGGGGTCCACCCTCAGCACAGGGCAGAGCAGAGACATTTAGATTACAGCCCTTTTCCCTAGTCCCTCTGGCTCACGGTCAGCTCCCCCAACCTTCCTGTCCCACATCTCCCTGTATTGCTGCCCGTCCGTCCATCCCCCTCCACCAGCTGCCCATCTTGTCTCTCTGTGTCTATCTGGGTTTCCCGTCTCTGTGACCCCCCGCCTCGTCTCCCTGGTCCCAGCATTCATGTTCCGCCTGGACGGGTCCACATCTCACCAGAACCTGCGAGTGGAGGACCTCTCCGTCGAGTGGGACGCCATGGGCGGGAAGGTTCAGGATATCAAGGCTCGAGAGAAAGACAAAGGCCGAACAGCGTCCCCTGTAAACTCCCCGGCCAGGTAGCCCATCTCCCCTGGCCCCCGAGTCTCTAGTGGACACGCTCACCATGGCCAGTTTTGTCAGGACTGGGATGGAGGGAGGGACCCAGCGGTATAACAGCTTCCTTGTAGGAGAGTGAGTGAGCAAGATTTTGAGCGGGGTTCTGATGGATGAATAGGAGTTCTTTGCAGCATCTGACCAGTTAGCTCAGTTGGTTAGGCATCTTCCAGCTGAGGAAAATGGCTGGCATGGACCAGGGAGGCTGTCCCAGGGAAAGGTGAAACCTGAGCTGAGCTTCCCTGCTGTCCACAGAGGGACTCCATCTCCCAAGAGGATGTCTTCAGGTCGTGGAGGCCGGGACCGCTTCACAGCTGAGTCTTACACGGTGCTGGGTAAGGATGGGGGATGAAGAGGACTGGGGAGCTGGGGGCAAGGTCTGAGCAGGAGTGTGTGGGCCTAGGAGGTGTGCACCCTCGGCTCCATTCTGCCCCTCTCTGTCCCTGTACCTCAGGGGACACGCTGATTGACGGAGGGGAGCACTATTGGGAGGTGCGCTTTGAACCGGACAGCAAGGCCTTCGGCCTGGGTGTGGCCTACCGCAGCCTGGGCCGCTTCGAGCAGCTGGGCAAGACAGCCGCATCCTGGTGTCTGCATGCCAACAACTGGCTGCAGGCCAGCTTCACCGCCAAGCACGCCAACAAAGTCAAAGTGCTGGACAGCCCTGTGCCCGACTGCCTGGGCGTACACTGCGACTTCCACCAAGGTGCCCTCCCTTTCCCTCCTCAGTTGCAATGATCTGCCCCCCCCCCCCCCCGGTCCTGACTCCTGTCCCTCTGCTCCCCCCACCCCAGGCTTTCTGTCTTTCTACAATGCCCGCACCAAACAGCTCCTGCACACCTTCAAGGCCAAGTTCACGCAGCCCCTGCTTCCAGCCTTCACGGTGAGCCTGTTGTAGCGGGGAGGGGGAGGCTGAGGGGGAAGGGGTGAGAAGGGGTGGACGGACCGGGAGGGGGTGGGCCTTCCTCTGGGTGCTGTGACTCCTGTCTGAGCCTCCCCCCTCTCCCCAGGTGTGGTGTGGGAGCTTCCAGGTGACGACGGGCCTGCAGGTCCCCAGTGCCGTGCGCTGTCTGCAGAAGCGGGGTAGTGCCACCAGCAGTTCCAATACCAGCCTCACCTAGGCCAGGGCCACCTGCCAGCTGGGGCACTTCAGCCGGCATCTCCACCTACCTGCTGTTTGGAGCCTTAACTCTGAAGTGGGGGGGGGGTCAGGTCAGAGTCCCCTCCCCACCTCACTTCATAATAAAGATAAAACACTGGCGACACTACTGCACTGATTTTGGGGGATGGGGTGCTTAGGTGACCTGGACCTTGCATTTCTTAGCTGTGAAATGGGCTTTCCTTGTGGATCGGTGTCAGGTTTGCCGGCTTGAGGCCCACACACCCGACAGGCCCCAATCCTAGAGGCCATGCTAGACACATGCAATCACGTGGAGCTTTGTTGTTTTTTTTACTTTATTAAACAAGGTCTCACTCTGTAGCCCAGGCTGCCACGGACATCACTGTGCAGCTCAGGCTAGCCTCCGATCTCCCAGGGGTCGTCCCTGCTTCACTGTTTGGAGGACAGGCATTCCTCCATGCTGGGTATGTCCAGTCCCCTCAGGACAGAGCCGGTGGAGGACTACTGTGCCCCGAGATAGCCCACTGGTCCCTGGAGCTTGGATCAGTGTTCCAGTGCTCTCCTCTTCTGCAGTTTCTCTTCCAGCTCAGCCGTGATATCCCTCAGCCCTGGTGGGTGGGGATCCAGACCTCAGCTAGAACACCCAGGACCTGCCCACCACGCATCCAGGCCCCCAAAGTCTCCTTACTTGTCACGACGAGGGAGGGAGCCTGTGGTGAGCAGCCACCTGGCTTCCTGGCCCATACGCTGGTGATGGCTTTGAGATCTGCAGAAGGACGCAGATGAGGTCTAAAGCCACCTGCCACCGAGAGGGCAAGTGGGGAGGTCGGAGCCCTACCCGGTTTGGGCATCACTGGTGGCTTTGGGGGTTTTGCTGGGAGCTTCGCCGGCTTCTTGGGCTTCGAGGGGACTGGCTGACTGGAGGGAGACACTGCATGGACAGGAGAGCGATGTCACAGGGCGTCACCAACCACCTCCCACTCCAGCATCTGCAGCCCGGCTTACCATCATGATTCATGTACTCAGCTGCTAGGGAGTCCTCAATGGGGGTCACATAGTTCTCATCCTGGTCCAGTAGCTGAGGCACGGGAGGTAGTGGAGGCAGCCTGTCCTCCTGGCTGGACACAGGCACAGGTAGGAGTGGCTTTGGGACATTAGCATGGGGGACAGGGCCTGATGGGAAACAGTCACTGTTAGGGCCTCTGTGGTACAAACCTCTTAGGGTGTACCTGCAGAGAGAAGTAAGTGTCTCTCCATACCCATCTGTCCATCACAATGTGTCTGAATGTTGGGATGCATGTGGGATTGTGGCTTCAGACAGGTACACAGATGTGTGTGTGTGTGTGTGTGTGTGTGTGTGTGTGTGTGTGTGTATACAGAGGTGTGTATGAGCCTCAGATGTGCACACACTCAGCTGAGAGCACCGAGTGTGTGTGTGTGTGTGTGTGTGTGTGTGTGTGTGTGTGTGTGTGTGAGGGCTGGGCTCAAGAGGACCATGCTGCATTCCTCACAGCCCTCTACAAGACACCCCACCTCTCCCTCTCACTTGGTAAAGGGGACCGACCCAGCATTCCCTCCCTGCCTAGCTCCCACCCCAGGTCTCTCTGAGGAAGCTAATCCTCTCCTTTACCCGTCTCTATTAATAAAATCCTTTGGAGCTGGGTCCTTAGTTCCAGCACTCAGGAGGCAGTGGCAGGTGGATCTCTGTGAGTTCCAGGACAGCCTGGTCTACAGAGTGAGATCCAGGACAGCCAGAGTCTCAAAAAAACTGATGATGATAAAATAAAAATCAAATACAGTCCTTGGGATCCTAGTGTAGTGGTGGGTGCCTGTCACCTGAGCCCTTGGCTACAAAGAGCCTATCAAGAAAGCATAGCAGGTGGGTGACACACTTTGACCCTTGTACCTGGAGGCAGAGGCAGATGGATCTCTTGTTCAGTGTTAGTCCTGTCTATAGAATGAGACCCTGTCTCAACAAACAGAGCCACTGGGCAGTGGTGGCACCTGCCTTTATTCCCAGCACCGGTTAAGAAGAGGCAGGTGGATCTCTGAGTTCAAAACCAGCCTGTTCTACAGAATGAGTCCCAGGAAACCCAGGGTTATCCAGAGAAACCAAATCTCAGAAAAACAAAAAGAGTCTTTGGACCACAGCAGTCATGGGAAAGGGGAATCACCTGAGCCCCGGGAGGAAGACACAGCCCATACACTCTCACCATTCTCCCGATCTGAGTCCACAAAGCCTGGAACAGAGAGGGCGGGCAGCCTGGAGGCAGTGTGGAGGCCCGGAGATAGCCCCCACAGCGTGTCCCCGTCCAGGCCTTGGCTGCCCCACATTACACACACCTAGAACCTTCTCATAGTCCTCCTCCATCAGGAAGGGGACCAGCGCCCTCTTGGTTTGCATGACGAAATAGTTGACCACAGCTTCCAGCGAGGGGCAGGAAAACTGGGGTGAGAGACGGTGGTCAGGCAGAGAAGTGGGGGAAGAAGCCCAGAGCCCAGGAACCCCCAAAACTCACCGGGTCTTCCACATCGATCACATACTTAGTACCCTCCCGCTTCACCTTGTAGTGCTTGACCACTGGCGCCCTGTAGAGGAGTAGGCAACTGAGTAGCTGGGATGCCACACTCCCCAACCCAGGAGAGCCAGCGCCTAGGAGACCCACGCCAGGGCCCCGCCTCTAGTCGTTGTCCCGCCGCTAAGCCTGTCCAGTTACGACCACACTCCAGGAGACCCCGTCCCTAGGCATGAATGACCGCGCCCCCGGAGATCCACCCCAAGTCATAGCCTCACCCTTCTCCAGAGGGTGTCCCAGCCCCGGCCTGACTACTTTCCCAGCAGCCTCTGGCTACCAAGGCCCCAGCTATAGCCCACACACCCAGGTTCCATTCCCACTGATGGCCACGCCCCCATCTGACTCTGCCCACCCCGGGCTCAGAGCCCCACGTGCGCACCCGTTGAGTATCTGTCGAGTAGTGACAGAAACACTATCTTTGCCGTCCCCTCCAGGCCGCAACAGCAGATTCCCGCACTCGGGGTAGCGCTCCAGGAGCAGCTGCGCCTCCAGCCGGCTCACCTGCAGGAAGCACCTGAGCACACGCGAGAGATGCTGAGAGTCCTGCAGGCCGACCACACATGCTGCTCCCACCCAGGCCCCACCCCAAGACACAGACCCCGCCCTCCCAGAGACCCAGCCTCCTCCCCTGGATCCCGGCCCTGCCCCAGAAAGACCCCACCCCTTGACACAGACTCCCACCCCACCGCACACTCAGAGACCTCCTACCACCCTAGACCCAGGCCCCGCCCCCAGAAAAGGGCCCGCCCCTCGACCCAGACCCAGCCCGTTCATAGACCCAACCTCCTCTCCTAGACTTCGGCCTAGCCTCTTCTAAACTGAGACCGGGTCCTGGACTCAAGCCCCGCACTCTAGAAATACAGGATTCCCCCACTAGACAAAAGACCCCGCCCAAAGGCACAGGCTCCGCCTCCTCTCCTAGACCCAGGCCCCTCCCCTTCTAAACTGAAGCACTGCAGTAGACACAAGCCCCGCCCCTCTCATGAATATGGCCCTTCGTAGACCAAAGCTCCGCCCCCAGGACACAGGCCCCACCCAGACCCCGCCTCCTCCCCTGGAGCCTGTTTCTTGTGCACCCCATGGGCGCTCAGGACTCACCAGGGCACCTCGGCGGCCCGCCGCGCCTCCTCTTTGGCCAGAACCTCGGCCATCATGTATAGGTGCCCCGGCAGCAGGGTCAGGTTAGATGGCACACGGAGCTGAAGGATGATCCAGGCCAAGAACGCGTGTGTGGGGACCGAAAAGGTAAAGTGAGGCCAGCGTGTGGAGTTAGGGAGGAGTCCATCTGGGCCCAGCGCTACCGGACACCCCACAGCATACAAATACGGACACCCAGAGACAGACCCCAAAGCGGACTCAGAAAGTGCTAGAACCTCGCTCCAAGTGCTGGGCAACTCTCAGGTTCAACCAGGAGCCAAAAAGAAAAATGTGGATTTCAACTCTGTGTGGTGATGCACACCTGTTGCCCCAGCATTCAGGAGGGAGGCAGAGGCGGGAAGATAGGAGTTCAAGGTCATCCTCGGCTACATAGAAAGTTTCAGGCCAACCTGGGCTACACGAGATCCTGTTTCAAAAATAGAACAAGGGGCTGGAGCGCTGGCCCAGCGGTTCAGAGGACTGGAGCTACATTCCCAACACCCACCACTGGGCAGCTTGCAAACCCCTGTAACTCCTGCTCCAGGAGATCAGACACCCTCTTCTGGCCTCGGAGGGCACTGCGCGCGCGCGTGCGCGCGCGCGCGCGCGCGCGCGCGCACACACACACACACACACACACACACACACTATTTATCTAAAAATAAAACAATAGAAAAATGAAACTAGCTGGGCAGTGGTGGTGCACACCTTTAATTCCAGCATTTGGGAGGCAGAGGCAGGTGGATCTCTGAGTTTGAGGCCAGCCTGGTCTACAGAGCGAGATCCAGGACAGCCAGGGCTACACAGAGAAACCCTGTCTGGAGAAACCAAACAACAACATCAAAACACCCAATAGAAAAGTAGAGTCACTTTACCTCCACCACAGTCAAGATAAATCCTTTCCACATCTCGCAATACTCCAGGCTTTCGACCTAGGGAGGGGGAAAAAGAGTTTCTGTTAAGGAGGATGGATGTGTTCATCAGAAAAGTGGGGTAAGGGCCCATTCTGCCCCAGGGCATTTGCACAAGTTGTGACCTATGCTGAGCAGCCCCCCCTTTTTTTAAAAAAGATTTATTTACTTATTATGTATACAGCATATATGACTGCAGGCCAGAAGAGGGCACCAGATCCCATTACAGATGTTTGTGAGCCACCATGTGGTTGCTGGGAATTGAACTTAGGACCTCTGGAAGAGCAATCAGTGCTCTTAACCTCTGAGCCATCTCTCCACCCCAGAAGACTTACTAGTTTTTTGTTTGTTTTTGTTTTCTGGAGCTGAGGATCGAACCCAGGGCCTTGCATTTGCTAGGCAAGTGCTCCACCACTGAGCTAAATCCCCAACCCTTTTAAAGGCATCTCGAACCACGAGGGGTCCAGGGACTTGTAGTCTGAGGAGTTCAGAGCAAGACTTCATGTGACTCTATATTTTTATTATGAATATTGGACTCAATGGAGAAGTCTCTCCTCTCTCCTGACGTACCTTGAACTTGACCTCCTGGTCCCGGAGAACCAGGCTGAAGTGATGGCTGGTGTCTTTTGAGCTTTCCCGCCAAGCCTCATTTTCGAGCTTTGAAAACAGCCTCAGGTCCAGCTTCTCCAGGGCCTGGCGCAGAGGAACAGGGGTGTGTGAGCACCAGGCCTACAGCTCTCTCAGGGCCCCAGGATGATGGGGCCACCCCCTTGGTGACATAACCCCGGACCTCCACCCACCTAGGTGTCCATCCATGAGACCCTGAGCCCACATCCCCACCCTCACCTGAAAGTCCCGATTGCTGTTGTAGAAGCAGATGGCTAGACCCTGGAGGCCTGCCCAGAACTTCCTGTAATCCTAGGGGCCAGAGAAGAAAGGAGAAAGGAGCCAGGTGGCAGAGATGTGTGTGCCCCACACACCCACTCGTGTTGCAGGTCCTCTGAACTGGCTGATCCCTGAGCCCTGCATGCCCTTCCCCTCACTACGAAGCTACCTGTTTTCAGTAAAGGTTGTGTTTCATTCAGTTAGTTAGCTAGCTACTTTGTTGATACATTCACATAGCCCAGGATGACCTTGAACTCCTGGTCCTCCTGTCTCTCTCTCTCTCTCTCTCTCTCTCTCTCTCTCTCTCTCTCTCTCTCTCTCTTTTGGTTTTTCGAGACAGGGTTTCTCTGTGTAGCTTTGCGCCTCTCCTGGAACTCACTCGGTAGACCAGGCTGGCCTCGAACTCACAAAGATCCACCTGGCTCTGCCTCCCGAGTGCTGGGATTAAAGGCGTGCGCCGCTACCGCTCTGCGGTCCTCCTGTCTCTACCCCCTGAGTGCTGGGTGAGGAGCATGCACCACCATTACCAGTTTCTGTCATACTGGGCACAGAACCCAGGGCTCCATCATGCTGAGTGAGCAGGGAATTCACTGAGCTGTGGCCTCTAAAAGTACATGTTCACTGAGGCCCTCCCTGCCCATTGTCCAGCCTGGGCACCTCCTGTCATCCAGGAGACTATGGTCTGCTGTACAGCTAGTGGCATTTGTCTAGCATGGGAGTGAGCCTGGGCTCCTCCAACAACAATTAATAAAGGAGAAAACAAAGGGACTCACATGGGATAAAGATACAAGGCGCCCCACAAAGTGAAAAGATGGGTGGTAGGGAAGTAAGCGGACCCAACTGGATTAATGGTTTTCCATGTACACACACATCTCTCTACTCACATATCCACCTCCCCATTCACTCACCCACCCACATATCCATCCATCCATCCATCCACCCACCCATCCACCCACCCTCACATCCATCCACCCATCCATCCACCCACCCACCCTCACATCCATCCATCCATTATCCATCCATCCACCCACCCATTCACCCACCATCCATCCACTCACCCACCTACCCATCTATTCGTCCAGCCAGCCACCCATCCACCTATCCATCTGTCCATCCTTTGAGTGCATGATGTAAAGGGCTTGCTTGTTGGGGGATACACGTGGGGAACCAAGAGACAAAGTCAGAACAGTAAGCGGGGGGAAATGGAGGGGTGCACTCAGCAGAAAATGCATATGGGCTGGGCACGGTACCAGAGCACACCTGCCATCCCAACACTGGAAAAGCTGGGGTAGAAGGATTGCTTCAGGTGTCAAGCCCTTCTGGGTCAAAGTTCTGAAAACCTATCTCAAAACAACCCTCTCAGTTGTTCTGAGTTGACAGCTGACCCTGTAGTCAGCTGTCAGCAGTTCCACATGCCACCTGCCATGACCTTGGTCTAGAACCTCAAGTTCATGAGGTTATTTCTGAGCCAGGAGGGGGAGGAGGCCCAGGAATCGAAGGACACCTTATTTCCTGGAGGAAGTCTCTAGTCTTGTTTATATGCAGAGAATGGAGAGGGAGACTGAGTTAGAAAGATTGAGACAGCAGCTGGACAGATCAAGAGACTGACAGCTAGGCAGTCAGGCAGGCAGGCAAGAAGGTAGACAGACAGATGGACAGGCAGGCAGACAGACAGACATCAAATCAGAGGACAGAATATGGAAAGAGACACAGAGACAGACAGATAGCCAAGACTTTCCACAGCCAGCAGCATGTGCCTTGCTCCACCGGGCACCCTCCCACCACCACCCACCCCTGCCAGGCCCTTGGTCTGTGTGGAGACCTGGCCCAGAGAGGTTGAGTAGATTCCCGGGGCAGCTCAGCAATGCTGGCTCCCGCCCTTCATACCTGGTCACAGGGTCCCTTTTTCTCCAGGAAGCTCTCATAGTAGTGCGAAGGTGGCACACCTTTGGGCTTGGGGCCCCGGGGTGGGCTCAGGGCCGAGGCCATGTCCAGCCCAAGTCCCGGGTCCTTCCAGTAGGAGCCCCAGCCTGGCCAGGAAGCGGATAAACAGGTTCCTGGGGAGTTTCCTCAACTCAAGTCAGCTGTCACCTCCCTCCCTGTCAGTGCTGGGCGGAGGCTGAATCCTGGGGAAATCCCGGTGGCTCTGGGCTCCTGTCCTAAGCAAAGACAGGGACCTGTGTTGGGGAAGGTGGCTGGGAGATAGTCACAGGAAAAATCACAGAAGCATACTGCAGGTGCATAATAGCGAAATCTGGAATGCTTGTTAAGTCACTGAGTGTAGCAACAATTTTTCCTGGATCATCAAAGATGGTTTGCAGGCATCTGCAAGCCAAATCCTTAGCCGGGGACGGGGTGGGGGTGGTGGTGGTGGTGGTGGTGGTGCGGGCGTCGATCGGGGAGGGGACTTTCTCAGTGCTGTTCTGTCTGAGCACTCATATCAATTTAATTTTTATTACATTCATTGTGTGTGTGTGTGTGTGTGTAGGTCAGAGCACAGCTTGCAGGAGTGGATTTTCTCCTTCCACCATGTGGGTCCTGGGGATCAAATGCAGGTTTTCAGGCTTGGTGGCAAGCTCCCTTCCCCACTGAGACACATTGCCAATGCAAACACTGAAATCATTCCCAGCCTGTGTGATCACCCTTCACTAGACTTACATCTAAGCACTTAGTTACTTGATTTTAGTTTTCTTTCTTTTGCTTCTTTGAGACACAGTCATGTAGCCCAGGCTGGCCTCTAGCTAAGAAACTGAGGATGAACTTGAACTTCTGAGCCTCCTGACTCCATCTCCTGAGTGCATGACTAGTGTGCACCACCATGTTCTGGGTTGTTTTTTTTTTTTTTTTTTTTTTTTTTTTGTAGCTTTGCACCCTACTCACTCTGTAGCCCAGGCTGTCCTCGAACTCAGAGACCCACCTGCCTCTGCCTCCAGAGTTCTGGGATTAAAGGCATGCGCCACCACCACCTGGCAGTTTTTCGGGTTTTGTTTGTTCTTTGTCTAGATACACAGCCCAAGATGACTTTTCAAAAAATATGTGTTTTTTTATTCATGTATTTTATGTATATGAGTGCTCTGTGTCTTCATGTTCACCAGATTCCTGAATCTGATCCCATTACAGATGCTTGTGAGCCACAATGTGGATGCTGGGAATTGAACTCAGGACCTCTGTAAGAGCAACCAATGCTCTTAATCGCTGAGCCATCTCTTCAGCTCCCCCAAGCTGACTTTTAACTCCAGATCTTTGTGCCTCAGCCTCCCAAGTGCCGGAATGACAGATGTGGGCCACCAGGCCTTACACTCGCTGCTATTTTGAATAATTGTAACAAATCACATCATTTCTCTCCTTTTGTTCTCTCTCCACTTCTTCCTGTTGCTGCAGATGCAACAGAGGGCCTTTGCATGTGCTAAGTAAGCACTCTACCACTGAGTCACACCCAGCCCTTCCCTGTGAGATTCTAGGCGGGGTTCACCATGACCACGCCCCCAGCCCCTCACTGGGGGATTCTAGGCGGGGCTCCACCCTGACCACGCCCCCAACTCTCACTGAGGGATTCTAGGCAGGGACTAGTGTTGTTAGTGTACCTGACTCCAGGCTAGTACAAGGCTCTAAAGTCAATTCCAGTGCAATCAATCAGTATATAACTATAAATTCAGCCAGGCGTGGTGAAACACTCGGGTCTTCCCAGAAGTGGGGAGGTAGAGGCCAGTTTAAGGGCAGCCTTAGTTACATAGTAACTTGAGTCCAGTCCTCCTGTCTTTAGCTTATTTTGTTTTCAAAAAAGGCACAACAAACAGATTATGAACTCATTTTCCGCAGTCCTGGGCTAGGGCACCTGGACTTTACACAGGTAATAAAGGGCAGCGATGGGGACCCAGATAGTCACTGTGTGCGACACAACCTTCCTTTATCTGTTCAAATAAACGATGTTATCTTTAGGGCACTTTCTCTACATCGCCAAGATACAGCGGTTGCTTCACACTGTCAAAGGCCACAGGAGAGCCGGGTGTGGGGAAGCAAACCTATGATTTCAGCATGAGGGAGGCTGAGGCAGGAGGATTACTGCAAGTGTGAGGTCAACCTGGCCTTCATACTGAGTTTCAGGCCAGCTATGAGTTCCTGTCTCAAAACTTGAAAGAACGAAGGAAGGAAAAGAGAAATTAGCAGGGAGCCACGGACTGTTGTGGAGAAGGGTGGAAGTGGTAGTAGTTACAGTACAGAAAGATCCCTCAAGGCCCAGAGAGCAAGGTGAACAGGATGAGTGTGGGGTGCGTGGTATCTCATGAAGAAGGTCGGTGTCCAGAACATGGAGCCTCCCTCAAGGCCTTGTCTGCCAGGAGGTCATTAGACCCACATATTGAGCAAACCAGGCTAGCCTGGTCTCTGCAGAGCTCGGGTTCTGGTGACCTGGGCGAGGGGAAATAACGATTCTCATTTCTTAGACTCTTCCAGAGCATCCTGCCTCTCTTTCCCCAGTGGGACAATCACACCTGCCATTTTGAGGCCATCCCAACTCTGGTTGGTCCCCATTCCGGATTTTCAGACCTCCTGGGGTTGGGGGAGGGAATCAAAGGCTGGACTAGGGGCGAAGGTCCTCGACCACACGGGAACAAAGGCCAGGGCCTTGCGTGCGCGCCTTCAGCGAGACCCGCCCCTTCCCGCCCCTGGCACCATCTGGGTACCGATTGGCTAGATGGGAACCATCCCTTGTAGTTGATTGAATGCTGGAGACACCTGGTGATTGGCTGACGTGAACGACTGTCCATCGCTGAGTTAACCCTATAGAGGCTGAAGCTGGCCCTGGCCCAGCTTTCAATCACCTGCAGCACGCTGCTGCCTTCTCATCGCGGTCCTCCCCAGCTCCCGACCACCAAGGGCGCTGAGTCTATTTGGCGCACTGGTGGCGGGGCTCAGTTTCCCTCATCGCTGCTGCAAGCTGAGCTACCGGGGCTGGTGTGCCCCAGCCTCGGGATGCACTCCAGCAGGCAGCAGCCTCAGGTGGGGGCGTATCGTCGCCTGAATGCGGGGATCCTGGGTTTCAGTTTTTCCCTCCAGGTCATCAGCACCATCTGGCCTCAGTATCTCTAATGTCCCAGGGGCACTGAGTTTCCGCATTTTCTTTCCCGCGCGAAGGCAAGGCTGGAGACTTCAGGTTCCCATCTCTTTCCAGCAGGCTGAACCGCTCCTGCCCCAGGACTCAAGGTTGCAACCTGGTAGCTGGTGGCCTCGAGTACCGACCGGGTCTCTAGTCCCTGAACAGGAGGTTCCTGGGCCTGGGCCCTCCTCCAGATATCCTACAACCTCCAGTTTCCCCAATTGTCCAGGGGCTCAGTGTCTCCTCCGCCCCCAGCGAAGCCAAACCTCTCCGCCCATGTTCAGTGACCAATGGGCTGCGGCGTCCCCGCGCGGGGCGGAGCCCGGTCACCCGGAGGAGGCTGTGCCCGGACCCGGCGGCCATGGCAGGTAGGACTCCCCGCGCGGGCGGGGACGGGGCAGAGGGGCATGGCCGCTGCAGCCCGTCGCTATCTCGCTGCAGCTCCCGAGCCTCTGTCCCCTGCGGTGGCGGCCGAGGAGGCACCGGAGGAGGATGAGGACGACGCGGAGGCCGAGGACCCCGAGCGCGGGGCAGGCAGCGGAGGGCGCAGCTGCAGCCTCGGTGGCATTGGAGGCAGCACGGCCGGGCCTGGGCTGGCTCTCGGGGGCGCGCTCACGAGGCGTGCGGTCACGCTGCGGGTGCTGCTCAAAGACGAGCTGCTGGAGCCCGGCGAGGGGGTGCTTTCTATCTACTACCTGGTGAGCGACCCCCAGAGACCGTTCATGTCCTCCACTGCTCGTGCATAAGGGGAAACTGAAGCCCAGAGCCTGATCCTCACAATGCCGCATAACCGTAACTACAGCCGTCTGGGTGTGTGGACACCCAATTCATACCATAGCAGCTTCCCCATCAGTAAAATGAGGTCTTCCTCCCCAGGCCCTCTATGAAGATGTGTGCTGCTCACTGTTTTTTAAAACGTTCGCCCAAAAAACTTTCTTTGTGGTGCCAAGAATGGAACTTGAGCCACACCCCCCAGCCCCCCACAGGGGGATGCTAGGCAGGCTCCACCCTGACCACGCCCCCAGCTCCTCACTGGGGGATTCTAGGCGGGGCTCCACCCTGACCACGCCCTTCAGTCCCTCCCTCACGGGGGCGGGGGGACTCTAGGCAGGGGTTCTACCTCTGAGATCAGTGTCTTACCAGGCTTTGTACTTGTGGTCTTTCTGCCTCAGCCTCCCCAGTAACTGGGCTGCTAGGCCTGGCCTGCTAGGTCAGGTCTGGCTGCTTAACTTTAAAGTTGTGCACCTGGGTGTTGAAAGCCAGGATGTTGTACTGATGTGACAGATGGTGTTCCTATGACAACACCTCTTGGGAACCCTAGAGGAACATGGACACCAAGCCTCAGGGAGCGTGTTGTTAGGAATCTCCGGGAGTGGGCGTGTCCCAGCCCTCTCTGTCCCTGCAGGGCAGGAAGTTCATTGGGGACCTGCAACCAGATGGCAGGATCCTGTGGCAGGAAACCGGACAAATCTTCAACTCTCCCAGCGCCTGGGCGACACACTGCAAGAAGCTCGTCAACCCAGCCAAGAAGTCCGGTTGTGGCTGGGCATCGGTGAAGTACAAGGGCCAGAAACTGGACAAGTACAAGGCTGCCTGGCTCCGCCGGCACCAGCTGCATATGCCGGTAGCTGCTGCTGATGAGGTGACTACAAGCCTTCGCCCGTGCACTGTGGCATAAGGTGTGCAAAGCCCTAGGGTAGGACACAGCCTCACGTGTTGGAGAAGCAGCAAGGTGGCCTGAGTGGGTGAAGCACAGAGAGCACAAGGGAGGCAGGGAGGAGACAGACAGGACCGGCAGGGCCTCCTGGGCTGCGGGGAGGACTTCAGCTTTGACCCTGAAGGAGCTATGGAGTGCGATGATGGGCAGAGGGAGCTGCTGGAGGGAGACTGACAGGGGAGTCTCACCTCAAGTCAGACAGCTAGGACCAGCCAGAGGCTGAATCCCAAGCTTGGGGGTTCGGGGAGCATGCGCAAAGCCTCAGGCACATCTGCTCACCCTCGCCCTCTGGTGGTCACTCAAGGCAATGCCACCTCGGGCTCAGGCCTGGGCTCCAGAAAGTACTTGTTGAGGGTGTGAGGGAGGCGCCCAGCTGACACTACCCCCCTCCCGCCCCCCTCACCCCCGCGATACCCTACTCCACCAGAGTCCCACCAGCGAAGGGGAGGAGGAGGAGCTTCTGTTGGAGGAGGAGGAAGATGATGTGCTGGCCGGGGTCTCAGCAGAGGACAAAGGCCGCAGACCCCCTGGGAAGGGCTCCTCTGAGCCAGGTGAGGGGCCAGAGAGGAGGGGATTGAAATGGGGAGGCTGGCTTTGATGTTTCTTAGGCCTTATTGACAGACAGTCCAGCCTGATTCCACTCTCTGCCTGGCAGGCTTAGACCTCACAGAGATCTGTCTGCCTCTGCCTCTGCCTCCTGAGAGCCGGGGTCAAGGGCATGTGTTAGAGGACACCTTTCAAGAGTTGGGTCCCTTTTAACACCATGTGGGTTCTGGTAATTGAACTTAGGTCATCAGGCTTGGTTGCAATACCCACTGAGCCATCTTGCTGGCCCCATTTCCTCTTATTTCTTGGGCGTCCTTGCATGGAAGGGTGAGGGGGTTCACATTGACTTCTCTCTCACCCCTCTCCCCAGAGGCCACGCCCCCTGGCAAGCGTGTAGACAAGGTCCAGGTACCAGTCCGCTACTGTATGCTGGGTAGTCGTGACTCTGCCAGGTCAGTCACCCCGTCTGCCCTGGTCCTGGCTTCCCTGGTGCCCTTGGTTGGTTTGGTCACAGAGGCAGGGATCTGGCAGGGTCTCAGCTGCTGGGAGACCCCAGGAGGGAGTGGGGTGGGGAAGAGCCTGAGTTCCTGAAGCCTTGGCACCCTCCAGGAACCCCCACACCCTGGTAGAAGTAACGTCCTTTGCTGCCATCAACAAGTTCCAGCCGTTCAACGTAGCTGTTTCCAGTAACGTGCTGTTCCTCTTGGTATGTGACTCAAGTCCCTGTGCCTGGTCACCTGCCATGTCCAGGGAGAAGGCACTCACTGGCTTGGGGGGGGGGGGCACTGAAGAGTCAGGGATATGATATACAATAGGCATTCAGTAAGTGCTTGCTATTAGGAAGTAATAGGTGATCAGTCTTTCCTTTGGTGCTGGGTATGGACCCCAGTGCCTTTGCACATGCTAGGTGCAGGCTTGCTTGCTAGTGAGTGACACCCCGAGGTTAATGGTAGGTTTTTGATAAATGCACATAGGAGGGGGGTGGGCTGGCTTCTGCACTGACACAGGAAGTGCAGCCTGAGCCAGCTGTCCCCTTTCGTCCCCAGGACTTCCACTGCCACCTGACTCGGAGTGAGGTCGTGGGCTACCTTGGCGGCCGCTGGGACATCAACAATCAGAGTGCGTACTGGGACTGGGTGGACAAGGGTGTGTCTGGGGCAGGACTGACAGTTTCTTGCTGGGTACCCCCACAGTGCTGACCGTGTTGAGAGCCTTCCCCTGCAGGAGCCGGCTGGGGGACGCTGACACAGCGGCCACCGTTGAGGAGGAGGTGAGGGCTTCTTGAGAGGGGGCTACAGTTGTCCTGGTGGCTAGGACAAGTGTGGAAGTGAGTGTGGGTGCCCGTGTCTGGTATGGAAATGCTGGCTTTACGTGACAAGGGGTGGAGGGAGGTCTTGCTGTGTAGACCAGGCTGACCTAGAATGAGGCATCCTCCTGCGGTGCCATTTGAGTACTGGGAGGATAGGCCAGTGGCTATGCATAGATGTAATTTTTAAGATTTTCTTATCTTCTGCATGGTGTTTTGTCTGAATGTCTGTCTGTGCATTGTGTGTGCCCGGTGCCCTTGGAGGTCATTAGAGGGCATCGGATCCCCCAGAACTGGAGTTATGGGTAGCGGTGAGCCACCATTGGGTGCTGGGGACTGATTCCAGCCCAAGTGTTTTTTTCCATTTGTTTGGTTTTTGAGACAGGGTTTCTCTGTGTAGCCCTAGCTATCCTGGAACTTGCTCTGTAGACCAGGCTGGACTCAAACTCACAGAGATCCGCTTGCTTCTGCCTCCGGAGTGCTGGGATTAAAGGCGTGTGCCGCTACCACCTGGCCAGCTAGATGAATTTCTTTAAAAAAATAAAAAAAGTGTGTGTGTATCTGTATACGTGCATATGAGTGCCCAGTGGGACCAGAAGAGGGCATCGATTCTTGGAGCTAGAGTTACAGGTGGTTGTGAGCAGCCTGATGTGGGTGCTGGGAACTGAACTGAGTCCTCTTCAAGAGCAGCCAGCACTCTTACCCACTGAGCCCTCTCTCCCGCCCCAGATGTGTAGTTGGGTGGGAGGGGACTGCGCAACTGCCTTTGTGCAAGACTCAGGGCAGCTCAAGGTCCCGCCCCACCCCCACCCTAGCTCGTATGTCTCCAGATCCACCAGGTGCTGTTCCTCCGAGGCCTGTCCCTAGTGGGCTGGTACCACAGCCACCCGCACAGCCCGGCAGCACCCTCCCTGCAGGACATTGACGCACAGATGGAGTACCAGCTGAGACTGCAAGGCTCCAGCAATGGCTTCCAGCCCTGCCTGGCCCTGCTGTGCTGTGAGGCCCCAGCTGGGCACCAGGTTGGGGGACTCACCCCGCCAGGCCCACTGAGCCCCCAACCTACCTCAACCCGTCATTGTCCCCACAGCCCCGTACTATTCTGGCAACCCAGGCCCTGAGTCCAAGATCTGCCCTTTCTGGGTGATGCCTCCCCCTGAGGTGGGTGAGCCGGAGGAAGGCAAGTTGAGGGGCATGGGCGTGAGTGGGCATAGCGGGGTTGTATCTGGGCAGATGTTTGGGGGACGGAGGATGTGCTATGCGTCTTAGGGGACTGCAGTTCAGAGCTATACTGGGCAGCTGTGCCTGCTTCTCCATCTGTCCGGTGGTTCTCTGTGGTCACTCTAATGCCTGCGGGGTGATACCCTGGCTTCCCACATCCCTTAACTTCAGACCCTAGAAGCCCTGGGTGTGGTGGGCTGGGGACAGGCAAGGCCTCTCTGACTGGCCTACAACCTCCTAGCAGCAAAGGCCCAGTGACTACGGCATCCCCATGGACGTTGAAATGGCCTATGTCCAGGACAGCTTCCTGACCAATGATGTCCTTCAAGAGATGGTGAGCCATCTACTCGTGGCTGTGGCTTCAGGGTTAATGGTTTCCACTTCTGTTTTGGTTTTTGTGGTTTTCTTGAGATATGGCCTTCCTGTGTGGCCCAAGCTTACGATTATTCTTTCAGCGTTCTCAGTGCGGGGATGACGGGTGTGTCCCCAGCACACCTGGGTGTGTGGCTGTCTTTCAATAGCTGCGTCTTCTTGGTCATCGCTGAGGGCTCATGGGATGAGCCCTTCTGGGGATGAGGCTAGACCGCCACCAGGGCAGCCTGCACTGTGGTGACGTGGACCTGGCCCTCCTGGCCGTTGAGGGAGCCCCAGAGCCCGAAGGGGCAGGATCCAGGTGTGCTGCCCCCTGCCCTGCAGGTGCTGCTGGCCGAGTTCTACAAGGGCGCCCCCGACCTCGTGAGGTTCCAGGAGCCTTGGAGCCCGGAGCACACCTACCTGGACAAGCTCAAGGTGGGTTGTGGAACCCCAGCCCGGGTTCTGTGAGGAACACAGACCACTTCCCCAGAGTCTCAGGGAAGGGGGGGTCACAAGACCTGCGTGGCTGGGTAAGGGCACCCGTCAGACTCACGGCGCAGGCTCCATCCGCAGCAGTGAGCCCGCTTGTCAACTACTGGGCCCTGCCTTTGGCCTGAGGTCACCCTTCTTGTGTGTGGAGTTCCCTCGAGAGGGTGCTCTACACTGTGCATCGCTCAGACTGAGGCTCGGTGTGGCACACAGTGTCAACCAGCACCCAAAGGCGTGAGCATGCAGGTGTGTGTGTCTTGTTCTAGGTTAGCCTGGGCTACACAGCCAAGACACTGCTCCCAAATCCTAACCAGAGAAATCTCCCACAGAACCAAAGTCTTGAAGGTGGCCCAGGCCTACCAAGCACTGCACCGGTCACCCCACTAGGCCCTTACTTGGGCTGCAGCCCTGGGAGGCAGGGGACACGTGTGTAGGACAGAGCCTGACCCCAGTCCTGATGTTGCAGATATCACTGGCCAGCAGGACCCCAAAGGACCAGGGCATGTGCCACGTGCTGGAGCAGGTCTGCAGCGTGCTCAAGCAGGGGAGCTGAGGCTGTGCAGGCCCTGCTGTCCTGGGACAGGCTGGGTAATAAAGTCTGAGTACCCACACCACGGGCCTGTGGCTGCAGTGGGGTGGTGGGGCTGTGTGGGGGCCTTGCAAGGAGACAGGGTCACCCTCCACCAAACAGGACAATGGCTGTAGAAAGAGACATTTAATACTTCTTAAAAAATCAGGAGTAGAGTTCGCTTCAGCCCAGGCTGGAGCGGGACAGTGTTGCCCACCTGGGAATGTGGGGTGTGGCCCCACATGCCAGGGAGGAGCCATAAGTTGAGGGGCCGCTGTAGAGAGGAATGTGACTGAGGCCAGGCTGGAGGCCTCGCTTACTGGCACCCGCAGCCGCCTGTGGCAGCTGCCAGGTGCGGGGTCCCATGGACAGGCAACGGCGCCGGCTCGAAGGCGCCGGTGACGGGAATGTCCTCTCTCCGGGGCCTTTGTGCTTGGCCTTCGGCAGGGCTGAGGCTGGTTCTGTGGTCCCGTGGGCGGTGTGTGTGTGCTGTGTGCACGTGTGCTGTGGTGTGCACTTCCACATGGGCAGCTGGTGCTAAGTATCTCCGTGTGCCAAGCTGGGGTACTGGCCAGCCTCAGCTTGCAGGATGGGGACCCCAAGGACCCGCCTGCCTCTGGGGAGCCTGGAGAAGGGGCCGGGGCCCATCGCCAGCAACGGGCTGGGAGGGTTTGAAGCAGGTGGGAGCTGCCACCACCAGGAAGGCGAGAGAACCTCAGGGTAGGCCTTCCCAAGTCTTAGGATGGGGGGCCCAGGGCTGGGAGAGTGGGGAGGAGGGTCCTCCCTGGAGGAACGTTAGTGTTTCTAGAGCACCTTGGCGTTAGGCCGCTGCCACAAAGTGCAGGCAGCCAGTGTGCAGGCGCGGTCACTGAGGCAGGGGCACCAGCACCTGCACATAGCTGAGCGGGAAGAAGCCCGACTGGCCGTGCAGCATCCCCTCGTACCAGTTCTCGTCGATCTGGTTGGTGAGCGTGATGAGGTCACCCTCTCGGAAGCCCAGCTCGCCATCATTCTCGGGCTCAAAGTCATATAGCGCCTTGCAGCTTGGCTGGTCCAGGGGTGCTGGGATTGGGGTAGGGATGTGAGGGCACAGCAGACGGCCAACGGCCAAGGTGGGTGGAGGTCAGCCCTACTTTGACATGGGGTGACCCCAAGTGAGCAACCTGCAGCAGCTGGGGGGGGGCAGGGGATGCAGTCCCTCTCCCTCTCTCCCCCCAAAGGACAGCAGCCACAGTGATGCTGACTTCCCCCTAGATACTCACGCATACTCCTGCTAGGTGTCCTGGCAGGCTTGTCTGCTGATCGGAATGAGGAGGAAGCTGTTTATGGAGGAGAGCAGGAGTGAGTGGGTGGACTGGCCCAGCTCCCGCCCGGACACCTTCCATGGGGCTTTGCTACCTGTGATCTTGGGTGCTGGGGCGCAGGGGAATCCCCCATTGGGCTGCTCCGGCTCTCCAAGATCGAAGGGCTCCCGTGGCCGAGGCTTGAACTCCCGCTTGGGCCGTGAGGAGGCTTCCCGCACCCTGCAGGAATGGAAGGGCCAGAGTTCCCACATCTCTCTTCTCCCGCCCTGTTGTTTCTGCTGCTGTCCCAGGGCAAGGGCTATCCCTAACCTAAGCCCCTCCATCTCAAGTATCCACAGAGGCTGCCCCTGGACACCCAGGGGGCTGCCACCTGACTTAAGCAGGCAAAGGATGTGGACTCGAGCAGTGGGAACCTGTGCTTGGCCTGGCAGGTCGGGTGCACTGTCCACGCTTGCCAGCAGAGGGCACACAGCAGCCACAGGAACTGCGGGAGGTGGGAGGGGAGCCACCTGCCACTCACCTCCGCTTCAGCTTGTCTGCCAGCTCCTCCAGGATCTGTACCGCCTGCCGGTGGTAGTCCAGCTGGGCATCCACCAGGGCCGAAAGCTGGCTCACCTGCTCAATCTGCGGACAGGAAAAGGGCCAAATGACGTGACCACGCATCCGCCCTGGAGGCTCAGCACCCTAACCTGGGAGGGCAGCCCTCATCCTAGTGGAATGGTGTCCTGGGTCCTCGGCCCTCCTGACACGCACATCAGTCTCCAGGAGGTTGTGCATGCTGGTCTCCGCCACCTCCTTGGACTCCTCAAACTTCTCCAGGGCCTGGCGCAGCTCCTCATCAGGGATCTTGCCCTGTCGCTTCTTCTTGTAGTCAAAGTCCAGGCGGCGGCCCTCCAGCTTCTTCAGGTGGTGCTGTGGGTGCAGACACGTGACAGAGCAGCACAGCGCAGGGGGCACCTCCCCAGGGACCCAGGGACCCAGGGACGGGGCGGCACCTGGATCTCCTTCAGGTCCTTGTCACACAGATTCTGCAGTGGGTCAATGAAATTCTGTTTGACTTCGATGTCCAGCGAGTCCTTCACCTCGGCCAGGCGCTTCATGGATTCACCTGCATCCAGCAGGGCATCACCTGCAGGGAGGGGAGGCCGTCACAGGCAGGGTTCCCCACTCCTGAGTGGCACATGTGCCAGGGCAGCCCAGAATACTGGACATGGCTGCCCTGCCCCCCCCCCCGCCCGCCCCCTCAGCTGCCCCTCACCGAAATTGGACTCTCCTCCCAGTTCCTTGCCGTGGCGGACCATGCACTCGCCCAGCAGCCCCTCTGACTGCGGGTAGCCAGGATTCTTCACTTGGCCCCGGATCTTGGATACGGTGTTTAGCATTGTCAGCTTGGCCCGTGAGGCTGCAAAGGAACAGATGGCCCAGGTGGGACCCACAGGCTCCTCTCTACATCATCCGTCCTGAGACACACCCTGGACCAGGACCACATATCCTGCACGGGCCAGGTGATGGGGTGGGGTGGGGTGTCTTCCCATGCCCCCCCGCCAGGGCCTGGCAGCTCACAGAGGAGGGGACCAATCCCACATGTCCCTTCCCTCAGGCCTCCTCAGAAAGAAGTGCCATGGGCACAGCAGAGTCTAAAGTCTCCACCGCCTCCCATCTCCAACTCCTGTTCCCTGCCTCACCCTTGCCTGGGAAGACCTGGCCCCACTGCACCCCAGCCCAGCAAGTCAGTAGAAGGGACCCTTGTGTGTGGAGGCGAGCAGAGGCTGGGAGGGCCATGGTCACCACTTCAGGGTGACCTACCTGGGTTGGGCTGCAGGTACTCGATGGTTCTGACCAGCACCTCTGCCACGGCCTTGCTGGTGACATCCACCTTCTGCGAAGAGAGCCAGTGTTGGAGCATCGGACACTGAGGCAGAATGGTGCAGGCCCCTTTGTCCTCCAGCAGCTGTGTGGACCGTGCCTGGGACCCCTACCTTTTCCATCTCTTTGAAGTCATCGTCCAGCTTGGTCCCCTCGGCCCCGCCAACCTTCTCGCTGACCAGCTGTTCGGGTAGAAGGAGGGAGGCAAGTGAGGGCACAGAAGGGGTACCTGCTGTGCCTGCCAACGATGCAGCCTCTCAGACAGACAGACAGACAGCCGGGTATCTGGACGAGACCCGGAGAAGCTGACAGTGCCGGGGTGTGCTGTGACTCAGCCCAGCACCCTGGGGGGACTGTCCCACCTTTCACAGTTCTTGGGTTGACCCTGTCACTTTGGCGGAGGCAAAGCAGGCCCCCCACCAGCTTCCCCACACCAGCTTGGACCCTGTGTCCTGTGCACCTGAGTCCTTGGTGCCTGCCTGCCACTGTGACACACCTGATAGGGATGGCCCCTCAAAGACGCCAGAACTTGACTCACAAACCACACCTTAAAGTAGGAGCCTGGACCTGAGAGCCTGGGGCAGGGTGGACAGAGCTGGCTGCCCTGCGCTGGACCCAAGTACATGGCAGAGAGCCCAGTGCCTGCGTCACTATCTGGATGTGGAACAGTGTGTGTCACCCCTCTGGGACACAAGGCCTCAAGTTCCCCTAGTCTGCCTACCACAGCCATCCTCACACATCACACCTAAGCCCCTGGGACCCACGAGCAGGGCCACCAATGCCCAGCTCACCCCCACATCGGGTGTATGCACACTTCATATGCAGAAGAGCAGGTTGGCCTTCTGAGAGAAGGATGCCAGTGAGACTTTCACGGGCCATGGTCTTGGTGCCCCCAACTCTGAGCTGTTGCCCTGATGTGGGCAAGGGTTTTGCAAGGGCCGTGTGGTACCTCACACCACAGGCAGAGGCAGTAAGGACTTTGTAGAGTGACCTAGGAGGAAGTGACCAAAGACATCAGGAAGTGGGGAGGCTGCAGAGGCACCGGAAGTGACCTCCAGCCCTGTGCCTGTGAGCAGCCGCCCCCCCCCCCCGCGCTCTGAAGAAGGCCACTGTGCTCTCTGGCCGGCCCACTGAACAGGGCTGCTCCTGGGGCTCCCCAGAGCCTCTCTCAGAGGAGAGCACAGGGCGCGCCTCATTGGCTACCTCCTTTGGGTATTCCCAGGGAGCCCCACTGGCTTTCACCCGCTGGTTTCGCTTCTCCAGGCTGAGCAGAGGCAGGATGTCACCCACCATGAGGCCCGGCTCTTCTGGTAAATGCAGAGAAGTAAGGCAGGGCCACAGCTTCCGGGGGACAACACCTGGGCCTGGGGACCTGGAGTCTCAGGAGAGCAGTGAGGCAGGAAGAGGGAGCCCGGAGCATACCAGGCTGCTCTCTTAATGCTCTCATCTCCTGTGACCTGTGATTTGGAGGTCCAGCCTCCCCAAGGCCCAAGATCTACACGGGGGCCCACATCACTGGCCACCACACATGCCACGAAGAAGCTAAACCCTCACACTCTGGGCCCCTTTGCAGAAGGACCGTCAGCGCCCTCCATAGCTCATGGGCACAGAGGACAAGTGGGAGAAACAGACACCTCCCACCATCTACACTCCAGAGCCAGAAGGCGGGGTGCAGCGTCTGTTTACAAGTCTGTGGGGACCCACCACAGCTGCCCATAGCACAGCGGGGGTTGCATGGTGGCATGCAACCACCTAGGTTCTTGGCAGACAGAGCCACCAGCCCTGTGGAGGTCACCATCCCTGCCAAGAGCTGCCTTGCTGCAGTCACCTTGGGGGGCAAACTAGGTACACTACCAGGGACCTTGGCCCAAGG